AAGAAAACAAATGGAAATGGATTAGCAACAAGCGTTTACGGGATGTGCATGGCTCTGTGGTACCACCTTTCCTTAAAAAAATAATTATTGAAATCGACGAATTGATAATCTCCCTCCTCCTTTTTTTTGAAGTCAGTTAAAAGGATTTGAAAATTTACCATTCACTTTGACTTCGATGATGTTTGAGTTAAATAATTGAAAAGGTTTTATTTTTTAATTAAATGTAAGAGGGTTGCCACCTGTTTAAAAATCTAATACAATTTCGCTTTAGGAAATTAGATAAGTGAAATATTCAGCACGGTATGGGTGTCGGACGAGAGAAGCTCAACGAGGTTTTAGTTTAGAAATATTTTGAAGGGGTTTGTCGCCTGATTGAAAAATCGAATTAAATTAAATTATGCAGAAGTTAGGTATGTGAAATATTAAACCATGTGTGTCAGGCAAAACTGAGTTAGAGCTTTAGTTTTCGCATCCAGACTATTTTAGTGATGTTTAAAAAGGGTTGCTAATTTAAATGAAATATTAAAAAAAAAAAATTCAAAAGGCCACATGCAGGAGGGTTGCCACCTGTTCAAAACAACAAATTTAAGGTGAATTAAAGCAATTGGGTAATTAAGCATGTGTGGGTGCTATACGATAGAGATTTAAAAAATTTAAGCTTTACAATATTTTCAAGAGGGATGCCACGTAATTGGAAAGCGGAATTTAATTCAACTATACATAATGTGTATGAAATATTATTATGTGGTTTCTAAACGAAAAGGCGTGAAGCAACCTTTAGCTTGAACACTTGGAATATTTTTGAGGTGTTTGAAGAGGATTGCCACCTGTTTAAATATATCCGGATTAATTACTTACCTATATGTTAAATTACTTATTAAAAGATCACTCAATATTGGTTTGGAGACGCTTATGTTTAAGCTTTATTCTGGAGGCTCTCCACGTTTCTAAAATTCAAAATCCACTTAATTCATCAGTTAATTGAAAAAGGAATAATAATGCTAGAAAAAAGATTTTCGAGAAGATTTTGAATAAAAAATACTTTTTAAGAAGGGTTGCCACCCGTTTAAAAGCCAAATTGAGTTAACTTTTACCCAAGTTATTTGAAATAGATTAAAAAATGTGGTCTCTAGTCACTAATAGCGACTTTTGGTGGTGAACTTGGATTTTGAGACCATTTGGTATTCAGTACGCTGTCTCACGTCTCTAGTCTAAAAAATAAGTCACTAATTTGTCAGCTGGCTAGGAGCCGGTCACAAAAATAGAAGTATGGAGACAAAACTTATTTCTTTCCATTTTGTTAAAAAAAACGCGAAAATGAAGCGAGGAAATTTTTTCAACGAAAAATTTCATTAGGAAATAAACCAAAATGCTGCAATGCCACACAAATGTATTGAAAAAAAATATATTTTTTTGTCTTTAAAACATTAAAATCTAAAGATTGTTAAAAAATAAAACTAATAAAAAAATAAAAAAAATACAAAATAAAAAAAAATAAAAAATCCCCTACGGCCGAGGAGGACTTGAACCTGGACCCTCTCGGCTGCCAGCGAAATGCTTTGACCACTCGCCCATTACGACTCTTTGAGCGACGCGGGCAAAAGGCATACATAAACACTATCAGTTGATTGTCTGTGTTTGCTTTCACCATACATTTTTGGTGAACTTTTTTTGTGGCTTAGAGCTTTTTGGGCGGGACACGGTGATTTAAAATCTGACAATATGAAAAACCGGCACCACGCGAGGACCTCTTTTAGTCAGAAACGGCTGGACGGATTCAGAAGAAATTAGGCATATGGATCGCTTATAACTCTGACTACCATTTGAAATATTTTTAAGCTTCCACCTGTGTAAAAACTTATATTAAATGTTGACATTTTAAGGCCTTTCGGATTCACAAGTATTTACATGTTTACGGTCACCGTTATATGAAAGCACCGGTGAAATATTCGTGAAAATTTGAGTGCTCAAATAGAGATATACGTATACATAATTTATTTTTCTCGCAAATAACTATTATTGTCGCGGAACCTACCAAAATCCAATCTAGCCTACGCATTTTCCAAATGGAAAAAACCTACCAGTTATCTGAGAAAAGTCCATTTGTGGAAATATTTCTTACAGTCCATAAAAGGTTAAATATAGCGAATTTTTTAAAACAGAATTCACAGATATTTTGTCATCTAATTTTTGAATTTAATATGGAAAAGGACAGAAAAAATTCATTTTTCCACTTAAATTGTTTTCGTGAAACCGGCAGTTAGTTGTTGGTGTATTAAGGGCCGTTTTCTGATGTAGGTTTTAAAATTTTATCTTCCCTTTAAACATAAATTTTGTTCAAAAGAAATGTTTTTTTTGGGGCAGAAAAATTTTAAAACCTACATAAGAAAACGGCACTAAGTGATCCTTTGTGTCTTTTTAGCTTTTTAAATAAGTAAGAATCTTAACCTGAAAACGTATCAAATTTAATAAATACCCACATTCTTTTAACATTTTTAGTTTTTTCCAAATTATATTTAATATTATTTTTTAGTAATAATAATTTCATATATTAAGATAGTACAAATTATATTTTTGTTTCCTAAAGTATAGTATTTTTTTTGTAATAATAAAATTTTAAAATTTTAAAAACAAATATATTTTTCCTTTTATTTTCTAATAGTTTTTTTTTTTAAATCAATCAGTTACCTTATGAAAAATTTTAAAATTATTTTCTCGCAATTCCAATTTCCTTGCCATTTTCGCATTTAACAACTTTTTTATTTGACAAAAAGACATTAATTATTTTTTGATATTTAATGCAAAGCTACTACCATACAAAAAATTATATTTTAATATTTCAGTAGCGCAATATGAAAAAAAGTATGACCAACAATTTTATTCGGCGCAGTCCTTGGCTTTCTATTTACTATACAACTCTGCCAACATTAAACAATTTCGGTCGTTTATCTGTAAGTTATTTCGCTGATTAGCAGGCACAGCTGTTGCCAGGAATTAAATTACAATTCCAGGAACGCCAGAGTACTCAACCAGCAGCTTCAAGTATAATAACCGCAAGCAAATCAAACTGAAATTCTTGAGGCAAATCTGCAAGTGCGTAAGACAGCTCGTACTTTTATANATACAACTATTGAAATTTTAATGCTTGCTTAGAAGTTTGCATTTGCTGTCTTCCTTCGCAAACAATTATCAGGATATTAAGCGCTTTAAATAAACATTAGGCTATGAATTTCATATTAAAAATAAATTTACATTCAATTCTGTTTTGGTTAAAAGCACTTTGAGGCAGAAATTGTGTGGCTAAATTGAAATTGCTGTAAATGAGTTTTTGAGAGGCTGCGCCAACTGTTTACGTCTAAAATAGGCATTTCACAGCAATTAATTGTATTTAGTTTGCCGAAACGCTTTGCGTCTTCTGCAAGGGACATCAACGCTGTGCAGTTTGTTGTGGTGAATATCAATGAAAGTGATTGATTTATTATTAAAGAGACACCCAGGGACGTCTTGCCTTACTAGCGCTGCTTGAGCACTCTCTTCTCACTTAAACTGTTGCTGATTTTCAGGAGGGGTATTCAGGTCTTCCACACTGCAGCGCTGCCAACTGGTGGCTGGGTGTTCAGAGATTTGCGTGGAGGGATCGGTGTGCGTTAGTCTACTTATGTTGAATGTTGCAGTTTATAAGTGACACTACTATAAATATACAGTATATATCTAATGTTCGTATATACTATTTGCTGTGCCTTTGTATGCAACTGAACATGCCAATGGCTTATGTGGTCGCTTAGGCAATTTATAATGCATTTGTCATAGCCACTCATAGTGCGACAGCCACATGGAAATGCGCATATGTATAAGCGCTCGTCCGTCTGACGAAGATGTGTGACCCGCTTCTTACAACTATACTTATACTTACACTCAGACCCAAATCCCTTTATGTGTGTGCATGTGTTGCAAATGCTAATGGAGGGGCTGTTTTGACAGGTCTAATTTGAAACTGGATTTGCCAACCCGTTCAATGTTTAATGCTAATTTTAACACGATTAAATATGAATTTGTGGCAAACAAGAAGACGTGTGCAACGGAAAGGAACGCAGCCGCATGAGTACTTAAGAGCTGAGCGCAGAATTCGATTAAGATATTTAAAAAATTTTGGAATCGATTAAACTATTTTTACATACATTTTATATTTACGTACGAAAAGATATGTATAATAGTTACAAGTATCTAGCGACATCTTAATTTATTTAATATGTATATATATTTAAAAACGTCGGAATTTTTTCGCTAACTAATTATAGGTATTTATACGAGTATGAGCAGTTAAACTACAACTAAACTATGGCTTCCAACTTTCATTAATAGCTCTTAACATAGCTGCTGGAGTGTGCACTCGCTGAGGCGCTGGCATAGGAGCCCGCGCTACTCCATGAGCTGCCATAGCCGCCCCTTTTTCCGCTGCCGCCGACACTGCCACATTTTCCACTTGAACAACCACCGCCACCGCCACCGCCAGCTCCTCCCGCACCAGGTAGTGCAAATGCCTGGCTGCCTGCTCCTGCATTCACCGTTGCACTAGCTCCGCTGTGAGCACCTGATGAGCCCCGACCAGGGAGGCCAAAAATGATTGCGCCATCGCCTCCATGGCCACCGTGTAGTTTTGCGCCACCGCATGCGCCGCTCGTACAACCAGTTCCACCAGTACTAGGTACTTGGGGTCCTCCCAGTTCACCCGGGTAGCCAAAACTAGGTGGTCCACCTGGTGCGCCAGGTTCGGGGCCTGGACCCCCGCTTCCACCGTACCCGCCACTGCCACCTTGTCCACCGCTACCACCATAACCACCTGCACCGCCATGTCCTCCCGCGCCGCCAAGACCACCGGTGCCGCCCGGACCGCCAAATCCACCTGGCCCACCAGGACTTCCGGCTCCACCGGGACTTCCGGCTCCACCAGGATAACCAGCACCACCATGTCCTCCCGCGCCGCCAATACCACCGGAACCTCCCGGACCGCCGAATCCACCGGGTCCACCAGGGCTGCCGGATGCGCCGGGACTTCCGGCACCACCAGGATAACCGGCACCGCCATGGCCACCAGGGTTGCCTGTTCCGCCAGGATATCCAGGTTCCCCAAGATTTCCACCGCCATGTCCGCCGGAACCGCCGAACCCACCAGAACCACCGAGTCCGCCTGTTCCTCCGTATCCGCCAGCACCTCCGAATCCACCAGANCGCCATGTCCGCCGGAACCGCCGAACCCACCAGAACCACCGAGTCCGCCTGTTCCTCCGTATCCGCCAGCACCTCCGAATCCACCAGAGCCGCCATGTCCACCATAACCATCATGGCCTCCTAAACCACCAGGTGCTCCTGGCGCACCTTGGCTTCCACTGCCAACACCGCCGGTACCACCATAGACAACTTTGCCGCCATAACCACCTTTACCTCCGGAGCCACCTGAACTGCCGTAACCACCAGAGCCACCTGGACCGCCAGGACTACCAGGTTCACCGGGGTAGCCATCACCACCTGGGCCGCCAGGACTGCCAGGACCACCGGGAAATCCATTACCACCAGGTCCGCCAGGAAAACCATGACCTCCTTGACTACCAGGACCGCCAGGGCTGCCACCATCATGTCCACCCGAACCACCGATTCCTCCTGGTCCACCATATCCACCAGGACCACCATGACCACCAGAACCTCCCGATCCACCTGAACCGCCAAATCCACCGGAACCACCAAATCCTCCAGAACCACCAAATCCTCCAGAACCACCCAATCCGCCTGCTCCACCAGGTGAGCCTGGTCCACCACAGTTTCCACTTTGACACCCGCTACTTGGTCCTTTAGATGATTGCACAGGTGGAAGATAAATAGTGCTCGGTGGCGCAATGGGCTTTCCGCCGCCACCACCACCAACGCCGCAAGATGGACCACCACAACCGCTACCGCCGCCGCCATAACTTCCGCTATTAGGTTTACCACAACTACCGCCAGTACACCCGCCTCCATAGCCACCAAGCCCACCTGGACCACCGCCGCCGCCACCTGCACCGCCACTTCCACCGCCACCACCAGCACCTCCGCCTCCGCCTCCACCAGCACCTCCGCCACCACCACCTGCTCCGCCGAGTGTACCAAGAACACCGCCATGTAGTTTGCCTAAGCCATTGAGCAAACCACCAATTAATCCATTGCCTTCTCTGTTAATCGAGATTGTTAAGCCGCCAGAGCTGCCCGCTGGTTTACCTGTCAAAAATGGATTACTGCCATAGCCGACGGCAGCACTGTCGCCGATAGGACCGCCACCACCACCAATTGTATTATCACTTGTCCAGCTGCCACCATTTCCACCAGCGCCAGCTGAGGCAAAGCTGCTCGCACTAGCCGAGGCAGAACTACTAGCACCAGCGCCACCACCACCATAATGACCATAGCCGCTGGACGCATCTGAAATGCAAAATTAAATTTCAAATTAAAGCCAATGCCATCTACTACAGTTTTGTTGCAGAGCAACAGTACGTACGTCCAACAGTGGGACCTCCGGCTTGTCACCCATTTTTATTTAATTTACTCACCAAAGCAGCAGAAGGCAATCAAAATTAATGCTGTTAGCGCCCGCGGACGGGTCCCAGGCAAACGTTTGGATTTATGTATCATTTCGAAATCCCGAACTGAATTCGTATCCGCGTGTCAGCTACTGTGGCTGAGTTGAATTGGAATTGTGCAAGTACATTATTTGCAATTCTATTTTATACTCCAACTGATGGTGTAGAAGCCGTGACCGATGAGCGTACTGGCGCTGCTGCGATGAGTCCCAAGTTGCTGTTGCAGCAAAATTTTAGAAATAGAATAAAAATAGAATATACGCGCATAGGTATTTGCATAGAAAGATGGGAAAATCCGAGCGCCAACTATTTCATTCTCCTTGTATTAACAAGCAGGCACAGGTAAAAGAAAACCCCAATTGAAATTGAATATAAACAAAAGCAAAAGCGACGAGTAGAAGAAGAAGATAGTAAATAAAGTAGAATATTATTTAAACAAAAAAATGCTACGGCATACTAATTGCCACAGCCGTGGCGGGAAGGTGAAAATATACCAGCCGTAACACGAAGCACGCCGCTACGGCTGCCGCGAAATCAAACGACATTGGCAACGGACGCAGGCAGCGCGCTAGGGAGCGGGGGAGGGAAAGAGCGCCGAGTTGCGCATTACTTACTGATGTGCATCAGCATTTGCAATCTACAAAAATCAGCATGGCGCGATTGATCGCTGCATAGAAATATGTATATGTATGCATGTACGTGCACAATCTATCACTGAATTGCTGAATTAATTAGCGCTGGCAAAAGCGCTTTCTTACTGTCATACCTAAACAATAGCGTCAGCGTTGTCTGGCATGAAGCATGCCGAAAAAAAACGCGGCGTCATCGCTAAGCGGTTGGAAAATTCGATTTTGACAGGGCGTTAGATAGTGCATTTGGCTGCAGAAGACGGCGAAGCTGTCATTTTCGTGTTTCACACAAGCACAGCTATGCTTATTGTTGGTGGTATTTCTGCACTTGACGTGGCGTTGATTAGGCGTCAGAAAACGCCTCGCCCAACGCTTTTGTTTAGGTATGGCAATTAGGTAGGTATGTGTTGTATGGATGTGAGTGTATGGGCGCTTCTGACACAGCCAAGTGTATATTACATGCAATCAATCTTATATCAATTCGCTCTTACTTTCATTCTCATTTCGATTAAATTTTTTTACTTAAGGTTTTTTACTATTTCTATTGCTTCGTTGTGGTTAGCGCAATAATCATTATTATTTACTGGTATTAGTTATTGAAAAGCTATAAATAATACTTAGTTGTCATATTAAGTGACATGAGTTGAGAATACTCATCAACTTAGTTGTACCTTCAAGTGTAGTTGCCGATAAGTTGCTGGCAGCAAAGGTGCCAAATGTAATACAAACTAGACAAATGTATGTGCATATTTATGTGTGTAGCCGTCGTCGTTAATTAATATAATTAGTAATTAGACTGCGGTGATCCATCATTTATGTCGGAATAGAAAAATAATACCATAATTTTTAAGCGATCTGTGATTTTTTTTCAATGTGCTACGAAGAACATCGGATAGCATAAATAAATACAATTTACAAACATTACCTAGTCCCATGTTAGGTGTATACTAGATGGACAGACAGAAATAATCATCTAGTTCTGTGCCATATATTTATGTATGATGAGCTGGGTTGAACGCTATTTTAATAAATTGCCGCTTACAGAATATGTTAGTATTTGGCCGAGATTCCCCTCCGATTTGTGGCGTTCGCATTGCTGTTGTCATAAAAAAAGAGGAACCTGCAGTTTTACGCCGACACCAAACGGCGATCCTATTTTTATTGATTTGTTTTTTTTTTTTCATGGCAAAAATACCCTCGCAGGTTTTCCATTGCCCAAGGGCAACCGCTATTAGAGGAAACTCGAAACCAAATACCGGCAGCGCCCAAAGTGGTCCAGGTGGACCCACGGAGACTCGACGGGGCGTGAAAAAAGAATGGTCGTTCACAAGTTGTAAGTGAGCAACAAATTTAGCGGTAATTTTTCACATGCCATATTTCGGTAAAAAAATGGTCGTACGAGGCTTCAGAAAAACCTTTTGAAGCTTTAAAATTGTAATTTTCAGATTTATTGGCTAAAGATTTTTGATCCTAGAAGGCACTTCTTATTTTTTATACGCTAAGGCCCATGTTCGTCGAGTGCTTCTGATTATTTATGCGTTTTAATTAAATGCTGTATTTCTTGTATGTATTAGTTCATTCTTTTCAGTTTTTGTATACACTTTTTTTAACTTATGAATGAAATACACTTTTTTTCTGTCAAGCTAAGTATCGCGCTGGTTGAGATTGCAGGGAAAAGTCACTAAAATCACTTTTTTCCATAACTGTAATAAAACCTTAAAATAAATAAATAAAACTATATTGCATTGTGCTACTATGATAGCACGACCGAGTAATCATGGTCAATTTATACACAGTATTATTTAATTTTGGTAAGTTTTTTATAGTTCATTCTTTTACAACAACCGTATGAATACAAGTTTAAAGGCAGTGTCAAACGATTGGGTTTTTTTGTCCGAAATTTGACGAAAATCGTATCCCAATTGTGTGAGTACCCAAATACTTTTCTTTATCACAATCACGAAAAATGATTTATTGAAATTTTTTAATAAATTAAAAAAAAGAATCAACAAATTTTTGTAAAAATTTCGAGTTTTTTAATTAGATTCTGAGTATGTAGTTTTGTAACCCATTAAATTCTTGTAGAATAAAGTACAACCCTCAAATGACTAAAATTACGGTTGATTTTTTAGAATTTTTAAAAAAGCTTGAAATTTGTATGAAAGTTTGTTGTTTTTTTTTTATATTGCACAAAGTTGGAAATTTGGATTTACACAGGTTTTGTTAAGAAATGAACTATATTTTTATAAAAAATTATATAACTACATATCTATGCTTGGAACTTTTAATATTCTCATGAGAGCGAGCTATGGTATCTACAGTTATTTCTTATCAGATTTCTCAAGTTGACGCGAACGTAATGCAAATTTGATGCACGCTTTTAAAAGCCTCATAGTATTCGAATTATTGCTTTTTTTGTGAACAGTAGGTATATATGTATGTACCTCGCTATACTTGAGGAAATATTAGTTAGCCGCACGTTACTGTAAGTGGTCACGGCGCACAGTGGTTCAGTCCTATACATTTTTTGGAGAAAATTAAAAGGAGTAGGTGTAGGGCTTAAATTTGTCTTATATAAACTCTGAGAACATAAATCAAGAAGAAAAAAACGAAAAATGTGTGTGTACAAACCTAACCTCAAAAACGCTTTTAAAATGCCATTCAACGGGCACCGATGAATGTAGGACTTCGAAAATTTGTCCATATATTCACACGGTTGGTAAAACTCTTCGGCCTCCAAGGTTAAAAAACAAAAAAAATTTTTTCTTCTCGATGCAGCATGCCACGTTTTGGTAAAAATAGGCAAACAAAAATACATTGTCCAGTATAAATTTTCTTAAGAACTCTTTTTGAAAGGTCTGGATATTTATTTTTAAGGTTTTCGATTCACTTATGCACTTCACGATTACTTGCAATGGCAATTTCAGCCAGACAGAAAATCATATAATTTAAGGATATTTTCAATAATTGAACATATGCCTCTTAAGATAAATATTACATGTTCTTTTAGAGTGATGCTCGTTTCAGAGTTTTGGATGTATTTTTTAATTTTTTTATGTAAGTATTCCATCCCATGACTTTACTAGCTTAGTTTACAAACTTTAAAATAATATTTGCTGCCAAATTTTGTAAAAATCAGATCACCCAAATGGTGAAGTAAATATTCCGCCTTAATGTATAAAAATGGAAAAATTCGTTGTCTGCAATATGAACGTACTTGGATGGAATTTTAATCAGCGCATGGCCATGATTTTCTCAGACAAAAATTTCAAAAATAAATTTTTTTTTATATCCGTATGCGAGTATATAGCAGAGAACTATAAGAATAAATATATTGAAACTTTGAAAAAAAAAAATTATTTCGGAAGAGCAAATAAAACCTGCTATTTTTGGTTAGATTCTGAAATAGTTTTACACCTCGTTTTAGAAAATCGAACAATCTACTATAGGAACACAAATATTCAACTTAAAACTACACTTACAGTGAAAGTATGAAAGTTACCAAATAACAAAGTGCATTTCTGAAATTCAGCGACCTCAAACTCACTGAGAAATAAATTTCTCAATTATATGCACACACCCATAATTCTAATTTTGTACACATTTCATACGAATGGGAAGCACTGTGCGGCGGTGAGAGGTTATCAAATTTCAGTTGAAATTTCATGAAGCTCCTAAATAAGTTAACAACAATATTAATAGTATTTATTAGTTGCATTTAATTGGTTTGCTAAACAAACTCAATCGTGCAAAATTATTTGTTTTTCTTAGTTAGGCATGTGAAGTATATACATACATACATACATACATACTTATCTAATAGTACCTACCCTGCAAAAAATTTTGCGACTAATCTCTAAAGCGAGTATTCCGAGAGTTCTCTCAATCGGGTACAATTGGGCATTAATTAGTCCCAACTAGTCTCATACGGGTACTATTGGAGGTCAATTAGTCTCGACTCATCCCTTATGGGTATAATTGGAGATCAACTAGTCCCGAACTCATCTCTAACGGGTACTATTAACGATTTAATGATATGTACGCACTTAGTCAATGAAATTTCATGTGCGGCGTTGGCACACAGAGAGGGTATTCGCCTAACAAAACTGAGCACCCCGGTTCGAATCTCAGCTGGCGCAAATTTTTATTTTTATTTTTTAAAAGTAAATAGTCGCTTTTTATACCCATTCGGGTATAAAGGTGAACAATTAGTCTCTTCATAGGACATGCTCGAACAAAAGCGATCAGTTCATTCCATATAAAGAGATCAAAAGTGGTATTAGTCGCATGCTCCTTTGCGATTGCTCCCGGAGTCATCCCGGATTTGTCCCATTTTTTGCAGGGTACATTTGTATGTATGTATGTATGGAAATATAATACATTTGCATTTGTACTGAAGCTTCCCTGCAAAAAATTGTGCGACTCATCTCTAAAGAGAGTATTCCGAGATTCCTCTCAATCGGGTACAATTGGGCAT